TACTCTTAATATTTTATTTATTATTTTTATTTTATGTGTATGAGTGTATTGCCTGCATATATGTGAGTGCACCCATGTCGTGCAGTGCTGCGGAGGTCAGAAGAGGGCATTGTATTCCCCTGGAACTGGAGTTAAGGATGGTTCATAGCCACCATGTGGGTGCTGGGAATCGAACCCGGGTCCTCTGCAAGAGCAGTCAGTGCTCTTGACCGCTGAGCCATCTCTCCAGCCCTCCACTTCTTTATCTCTTATAACCTTCTCCCTTACATACATACATTTTATGTTTATATATGTGTATGTGTGTGTTTTGTTTTTTAAATATTTTTTATTGAGTTTTTGTGCATTTCACGTAATAGTTCATAATTAAATTTAGATCCCCCCAATCCATGCCCACACATATTCTTCCCTGGCACCTCTTGTATTCTGTCATGTACGCTAAGTCCTATCCAGTCTAGCATTTGTACCCAGAAGTCTTTCAGTACACATTTATCCACTGGAGTCTTGTCAGCCTATCTAGAGATCTTAAGGAACGCTCTTTTCCTTCGCCCAGTAGTAATCAGTTGTCAACAGTTCCCAGGCTAGGACCAGCCTGCTGTCCATTCCCTTGTTCCTCACTGGGCCCTTGTGATTGAGTTGGCATTGGTCTTCTGCACAGTGCCACCATTCACTTGAGCAAGCTTCCAGTAGCCTGAAAGCCTCTGTTTCCCTATGTTCATGAAACAACGCTGGTTCTTACAATCCTTCCACCCCCTCTTCTGCAGTGGTCCCTGAGTTGTGAGTGAGTGAGGCTTAATATAGGAGTCCTATCCAGGGATACACACTCTGCAGTCTCTTATTCTCTAAAAGTTAGACACTCTGGCCTTCTGTGTGCTTTGCACTCTGTTGTATAAGGAAGCTTTGCTGTTGAGAGTTGCTGAGGGATGCACTAATATTCTCTTCACCCCTTGTTCTTATAATTTCCATGAGCCTTAGGTGTAGCGGTTCCATTGTAGATATGTCACCTAGGGCTTGGCATCTCTCATACATATATTCTCTATGGTGTGACCAGTCGTGCAACTGTGTAATAGCCTCTAGCTATTGCAAAAAGAAGTTTCTTTGATGAGTGGTGTATGGTACACTTATCTGAAAATAAAATGATCCATATTTAGCATATGGTAAGAAATCTCATTTGTTTAGAGAGAGGGCAGAGATAAGGTTTACTTTAGGACCTGTGGCCTCACCAGCCTTGTATATTTGGCTATAATTACAGTGCCACCTATGAGTTCCCTCCTATTAAGAGGGCTTTAAGTTAAATTAGCTAGCTGTTGATTACCACCCCCTCCACCCCTAGATAACAGTGTCACTACTGTACCAATAGAGGTAGTTTGCTTTTCCAGTTGTAACTGGTAGACTTTAGAGCTGGGTTGGCCCATTGATTGATTTTTGTCCTTTGGCAGCTTGCATAGTATCCTCTAGAACTATGAGAGCTAGTCTTCAGGGAGAAGCCTTTCAGGTCAGTTCAGCTCCATTGCTCCAAGTCCTGTGACAGAAGTATGTCATGTCTTCAGTAAGAAGGTATTACCTTCAAGTTCTGGGAGGTAACCAAGGGCTGTGGGACTAGCCTGTGTTATTTTGAGTCTCTTGGACTAGTCTGACCAAAACCTCGAAGGGACTCCTTGCCATACAGCCCCCAGGTATACAGATGCACTAATGTTAAGGCACCATATGTGTGTCTCAGGTGGTTCCCAAGCTAACACATTTTGTTCTGGCTTCCCACGCCACCTAAGCTCCATTCATCTCTCTTCTCTCCTTCTGTCCAATCTGTCCAATCTCACTCCTGATACCTGATTTAGAAAGCCCTTTCCTATGCCAATATCTTGTAGGGTACTGCCAGTGTTTTCTTCTATCAATTTCTGAGTTTTGGGTTTTACCAATGGCCTTTGATCCATTTGGAGTTGACTTTTGTGCAGGGTAAAAGATAACTGGATCTCTACAGGTAGAGATCCAGTTTTTCCAGCACCATTTGTAGAAGATGCCATCTTTCCTCTATTCTGTGTTCTTGTCCCCTTTGTCAAATATCAGGTGGCTGAAATTTCATGTACTCATTTTTGGGTCTTTTTTGTGTTCCATTGATTTATGTTTGTTTTTGTGCTACTACCAAGCTGCTTTTTTTGTTTGTTTTTAATTACAAGTCTCTAATATAGTCTGAGATCTAGTATGTTGTTCTCCCCAGCATTGGTCTTTTTGCCCAAGATTTCATTGGCTATCTGGGGACTTTTGTGATTCCATATGAATTTTAGGATGCTTTCCTCAAGCTCTGTGAAGAACGTCTTGGTTATTCTGATTGGCATTACATTGTAGCTATAGATGCTTTTGGTAAGACGGTCATTGTCACAATGTTAATTCTACCAATCCATGAGCATGGTAGGATGGTAGGTCCTTCCATCTCCTATTTTCTCTCTCTCTCTCTCTCTCTCTCTCTCTCTCTCTCTCTCTCTCTCAGACGGGACAGGGTCTTCCTGTAGCCCTAGCTGGCCTGGAACTCATTTTGTAGACCAAGGTGTCCTCAAACTCACAGAGATCCACCTGCCTCTGCTACCCAAGCGCTAGGGTTAAAGGCTTGTGCCACCACACCCAGCACCCTATGCTCTTTCTTTAAAGATTTATTCTTAAAATTTTTTTTTTCTGGCTATTGTGAATGGGAGGGTTTCCTTGAATGCTTTTTTCTGATTGCTTCTTACTGGTATGTAGAAAGGCTATTGGTTTTTGTCACCTGTCACTTTCTTGAAAGTATTAGTCATTTCTATCAGTTTTCTGGTAGAATTTTTGGGATCTCTTATGTATAATGTCATATTGTCTGCACATAGTGATAATTTGACTTCTACTTTTCCAATTAGTATTCCTACTTTTACTGAGTTGGGGTTAATCTTTGTTTTATAGTCCTGGAGGACTGGTTTTGTTTTGAAATTGAGTGCACCAAAGCTTGGTGCATATATGTTCATGGTCGCAATATCTTTTTATTCAATTATTCCTTTGATTAGAATGAAATGACCCTCTTTATCTCTTCTGGTTAGTTTTTTTATTTATTATTTATTTTTGTCTTTTTGAGGCAGGGTCTCCCTGAAACCCCAGCTGACCTGGAACTCACTGTGTAGACCAGGCTGGCCTTGATCTCAGAGATCCACCCACCTCTACCTCCAGAGTGCTGGGATCAAAGTTGTGCACTACCACTTCCCGGCTCTTCTTTAATTTGATGGTCTTATTTTGTCAGATATTAGAATTGCAATACCTGCTTGCTTCTTAGAGTTATTTGCTTGGAATATTTTTTCCCATACTTTCATCGTCAGGTAGTGCCTATACTTGAAGGTGAAATGAATTTCCTCAGTACAGCAAAAAGATGATTTTATTTCTTAATCCTTTCTACTAACCTGTGTCTTTTGCCTGATAAGTTCAGGCCATTGATATTTAGACTTAATGTTGAAAAGTGTGTATTGGTTACTGTCATTTTAACTTGTTTGTGTTCTTGCCCCTATTTTGTGTTTCCATTATTATACCTTCCTTGGTTTTCTTTCTGTGGCCTCTTGGGTATACTCATTCCTTTGTATTGCTTTGAGTATTGTCTGTAGGGATGGACATGAATTATTTCAGCCTATCATGTCATAGAAAACTTTCCATTCCCCCTCAACTGTGGTCGATAGATTTGCTGGATAAAGTATTCAGGGTTACCATCTGTGGTCATTTAGAACTAGGAATACTTTGGTCCAGGCTCTTCTGGCTTTCATAGTTTGCATTGAAAAGTCAGCTGTAGTTCTGATGGGTTTTCCTTTATATGTAACTTGTGTTTCTCTAGCAGCTTTCAGTAACCCTCTCTTTGCTCTGTACATTTAATGTTTTTACTATGATACGCTGTAGGGGGTTTCTGTTCTGATCCTGTCTAATTGCTATTCTATGTGTTTCCTGAATCTGTATAGATAGGTCCTTCCTTAATTCAGTGACGTTTTCTTCTGTAATCCTGTTGATGATCTGTTCAGTGCCGTTGGCCTGAGAATCTTCTTCCTATATGCCTGATGCGTAGATTTGGTCTTTTCATGGTATCCCACATTTCCTGCCTATTTCATTCATGTGTTTTTTAAAATTAACATACTTTTTGCTTAAGGAGTCCAGTTCTTCAACTTTGTCATTCAGTCTTGATTTTCGGTTTTCCATTTCATTCATTCTACTTGTGAGGCTTTCTCCTGTTGTTTCAAATTGGCTTATTGAATTTTTCAAGTCCTGAATTGCTTTCATTATTTAATTCAGTCACACATTTGTATTTTCTTGAGCTTCTTTCACAACTTTATGCCTATCCTCTTTGAATTCTTTGAGTTGTTTGTATTTTCATTTAAGTTCTTTGATCATGTTTATGATTTTTCTTTTAAATTCTGCACCATGGGGTTCCTCAATGTGATTCTCATTGTAGTACACTTTTGTGGGTTTATTTGGAGGTACGCTCTCTTGTTTTCTCATTACTTGTTTTTTGCATTGCTGTCTGGGCATATGGATGTTTTTTGTTGGTTGTGTGTCTGATAGGAAATTCTGGTCTGCCTTTGTTTGGTTGAATTTTGGTTCTGTTTATTTTGATTATGTAGCTTGGTCGCTTTTTGATCAGGTATAAATAGTTAATTGGTGTGTGCTTCAGGTTCTTGCAGAGTAGGCTGGTCTTGGTAGTTGGTAGGTCAGGGTATAAGGTGGACTAGCTTGTGTCAGGCAGGAGTTGAGGGGAAGGTGGGGGTGGGGACAGCTTGTAGAGGGCCTAACAAACTACACTAGAAGATTAAGCTAGTCTGGGGTTGGAAGCTAGTCCAGAGAGCTGAGGTGGAAAAGCAAGAGTGCATCTTTGCCCAAGGTTTGCTCAGGAGATGGGGCAGATTAGAGGTATTCAAGCTACAAGGGAATCAACTAGCTTTTTTAATTTGTTTGTTTTGTGATACTCTGTAGCCTCAGTTGGCCTGGTTTGTATAGACCAGGCTGGCCTAGATCTCATAGAGATTAAAGGCTTTCCCCAGCCACTCCTGGCTTCCCCTATGTATTTGTAGATTAAAGATTTGCTTTAAAATAATATCAGAATACCACTTTCAAAAAATTGTAGCAACTTGGAAATACAAGAGTGTAAGATCACAGAATGATTAATTTAGGAACTCAGTATAATTGCCACAAATCTAACCCAGAAAGCATTAAGAAATTCACAACAATTCATTTAGTTATTTATTTAGTTCATTGATTAGTTAGTTTTATTTTTTGAAACAGAATTTCCCTCTAGCCCCAGCTGGCCTGGAACTTTATCTTACCAGGCTCCAGGCTGGCTTCTGCCACCACACCCAACTACCATGTATCCATTTTAAGTGGTTTTCCATTCTGTTGTTTTGACCCTTATTTTTCTATTTTTCTTGGGTATTCTACATATTTTCCTTTGTCTATACTTGAATTTGTTACTGATTTTTCACAGAGGTCTCATGTGTCTATAATATTAGGATTCACTTTTTTTGTGTGTGTGTGAAAATTCCATATTTGTATCTTTGGATATTTTCTCATTCTCCCATGTCTTTCTCAGGCATTCCTGTTACTGGGTGCATTTTGGATAATTCAGTTTGTTCTCTTTGAATCTTAACTATGTCATATTCTTAATCCCTCATCTTGCTGAGCTGCAGTATATCTAATTGCTTTAACTATGAGTGTTTTGTAGTCTTCTTGTGTAGGGTGCTAATGATCAAACCCAAGGCTGCACACATGCTAGAAAAGCAGTGTATCACTGAGATATCCCATATTCTAGTTTTCAGTGCAAAACTCTTGTATTTTCAGCTAGAGTGCCTTAGCAAATCATTTCATGAGGTGTTAATTTCTCAGCTTGGCATGGGTATAACCAAATAATATTTTCAGGATTATGAGTAATTTGGGCTGATGAGTAGACATAATTGGGCATAAAAATTATAATTTACATTAAAAATTGATACGCAAGGTTTTTTCTTATGGCTGACACATGCTACTCTGAATATCCATGTCCTAAAAAGATAATCTGATTTTATGTGTATTTGTGTATTACCTTTGTTAAAGTCATGATTTATGTAACATGTAGAACAGTCGAGCAGGCACAGTGCCTGAAGTAGATTATAGTACCTGTTGGGTGCATGTCATCTAAAATGCTTGGATCAAAGTGTCTCAGATTTTAGAGTTTTACAGATCTTGCAGTACTTGTATATACTTTACCTATCAAGCACCCTTAACCCCAAATCCCCAAAGATCCTTTATAGTCTGAAACTGAGAACTGACATGATACTCAATTCTAAGATTTTAGACTTTCATATTAGGGATACTCAAGTGTAAATATAAGAATTTAATATGTATCTTTGATCTGAACTGTCTACATTAATATCAAAATATTAGCTTATAAATCTATTATTTTTCTCTATGTGTTGATCAGAAAGAAATTAAGTAGAATAAAAGAATAATACAGATAAGGTGTAATCATTGAATATTGGTTCAGATGGCACTGTTGGAACTGGTTTGGTTTCTTTTATACATTCTTTTATAACTTACTAAGCTTTTCTTAATGAATATGTACTGTAAATAAAACAGTTTAAAGGGGCAAGCTTAAAAATTCATAGTGTCGGGGTTAGAGAGATGGCTCATGGGTTAAGAGTATGAACTGTTCTTGCAGAGGATTTGGGTTTGATTCCCAGTACTCACATGTGGCTAACAACCATCTGTAACTCCAGTTCCAGGGAATCCAATGCCCTCTTTTGACCTCCATGGGCATTGAATGACATAGGTGTACTTACACATGTGGCAGTACATTCAAACACATAAAACTAAAAAGAAAAAAAAAAATCACAAGCTCTGAAAAGTTTAAAGTTTAGAATCTTTTTTTGTTGTTTTTTTAAAGAATGGGTGAGAGCTTGGCGTTGTGATGCACGCCTTTAATCCCAGCAATTGGGAGGTAGAGGCAGGCCTGGTCTACATAGCAAGCTCCAGGCCAGCTGGGGCTACGGGAGATCTTGTCTCAAAAAGACTTTAAAAAAAAAAAAAATTATGTACATAATATTCTTTCATGATGAGGACCAAAGTACCATTTATTTACTGTTCATTTGAGATTTATCAAAATGATTCATAAAACTTTGGAGTTCCAAGTGAAATCTTAAAAAATACTTCCCAATGTTATTCTGAAGACAGTATTTAATATTTTTTGTGTGGCTCAATATTTCAAACAGTAAATGGAATCCAATTTAATTTGATTATCATTGTATTTTATTAGCAGTAGAAATTACTTAAGATGTATGTTTAAATAAAACATTTTGTATTCAGTGAAGATTGGCAGATGTCTGGATCAGGATCTCCATCTCAGTCTGGTTCAGATTCCGAATCTGAAGAAGAGAGAGATAAAAGCAGCTGTGATGAGACAGAGTCAGATTATGAGCCGAAAAACAAGGTCAAAAGCAGAAAACCACAAAATAGGTGAGTGTACTACTTTTTTGTAATGCTAAAAATTGTCGTTTAGGAAAGGCATTCTTTTTGCATAGTAATTTTTTTCTGATATTGTTTCTCTGAAACACTGCTTTCCCCAGATCTAAGTCAAAAAATGGAAAAAAAATTCTTGGTCAAAAAAAGAGACAGATTGATTCATCTGAAGATGAAGATGATGAAGATTATGATAATGATAAACGAAGTTCTCGTCGTCAAGCCACAGTCAATGTGAGCTACAAGGAAGATGAAGAAATGAAAACAGATTCTGATGACCTGCTGGAAGTCTGTGGAGAGGATGTTCCTCAACCTGAGGAGGAGGAGTTTGAAACAATAGAAAGGTTTATGGATTGCAGAGTTGGGAGAAGAGGAGGTATAGTTGCAAAAGCATTTGTTTGGCCATTCAAATAATATTTAATACAGTAAAAATATTAAAGATTTTCTAATTTTGAAAGCTAAGAAGGTGGATTTTCTTCTGTTTTGTTCATTTGCTATCAAAATGTACATTGCTTGGCTCATGTGTCTTAGAAAAAGCTCACCTGACATCATTCTGTATTTTACAGACACTTGCATGAGTTCTGTGTTACAAATTTAGTTTTTTCTTTCTATACCTAAGTAATTTGTTTCTCTTTATACACTTTAAACTTAAGAGCTTTTTTTGAATATGAAGGTTATTTTGTTCAGTAATATTCATGTAGTGTTTAAAATAACTGGAAGTTTTATAATTAAAAACACCAACTTTCAAGTTACTAGTTATTAGAAGTTGTGTGTCATATTAGGTATTCTATTGTATTATTTTTTGGTCTTTTTGAGACAGGTGTCTCCCTGTAACCTCCAATAACCTCCAGCTGACCTGGAACTTGCTATGTAGACCAGGCTGACCTCAAACTCACAGAGATCCACCTGCCTCTGCCTCCCGAGGCGTGGGATCAAAGGTGTGGGTCACCATGGCCGGTTATTCCATTGTATTTTAAAACTTTGTTTTTCCTACTAAAACTTTAAAAATTACATTTATTTAGTGTGTGTGTGTGTGTGTGTAGGTCAGGATAACTTGTGAGGGGGAGTTCCTTCCCCCATATGGGTCTTGGGGATTGAACTCAGGTCAGCACACCTAACAGCAAGTGCCTGTACTGTCTCAGCTATCTCCCTGGCCCTTTTTTTCCCATTTTTAAAACTTAAGTCTTCAGTTCTAAAATTCTGAGTTCTTTTGTTTTATATGTGACATAATTTCCCAAAGATTTCTGTATTCTTTTAGTTTATATTTTATATTCATATTCTTGAAACCTTGAATTGAAAGGAAATATTCCTGTAACAGATTTGCAAGGAGAATCTCATACTTTCGTTTCTAGCTACTGGTGCTACTACAACCATCTATGCAGTTGAAGCAGATGGTGACCCAAATTCAGGATTTGAAAAAAACAAGGAGCCAGGAGAGATACAGTATTTAATTAAATGGAAAGGATGGTCACATATCCACAATACTTGGGAGACAGAAGAAACCCTCAAGCAGCAGAATGTTAGAGGAATGAAAAAGTTGGATAATTATAAGAAAAAAGATCAGGAAACAAAAAGATGGTAAATATGCTCTTGAATTTTTGTTTTTGCTTTTGTTTTGGTCTTTTCGAGACAGGGTATCCCTGTAGCTCCAGCCTACCTGACTGTCCATGTAGACCAGGTTGACCTCAATCTTACAGAGATCCCCCTGCTTCTGCCTCATGAGTGCTGGAATTAAAAGCATGCACCACCATGCTTGTATGTTTTCTTATAGTTCACCACCGTGCTTGTATGTTTTCTTATAGTTCAAGATTACTTTTAAGGTTTTTTAGTAATAAATACATAATTTGGGATGAAATGCCAGCCTAAACTATCTCTAGCCTATATTATTCCATTTCAAGGTGAAACTAAGGAATCGTCATGTCCAGAGTTTGTTAAGAATCACAAGGGCTCTGGGTTCAACCTCTAGCACTGCCAAGACAAACTGCTAATAATGTTTTCTCTCTTATTTCAGTTTCTTCATTCCTCAAACTTGGTTCACACAATTAAATGGGAAGTCTTGTCTGAAAGATAATGATCAGTAGAATCAGTTATTTAGAGGAAAATATGAAATGTGTTATTGGTTTAACATTTTGCAGGTTGAAAAATGCTTCACCAGAAGATGTGGAATATTATAATTGCCAACAAGAACTTACAGATGATCTACATAAACAGTATCAGATAGTGGAACGTATAATTGGTTAGTAGTAAATAATTTGGATAAAACTGTTACCTGTTTGGTGTATTTTTGAGGTGAGCTCTCTCACTTTGTTGCCTGTGTTGAACTTGAGCTCAGGATCCTCATGCCTCAACCTTCTAAGTATTTGGGAATACAGGTGTGTACTCCCAAACCTTTCTTCAGACTTAACTTTTTATACTTGAAATCATGCAAGCAAACATCTCAGGCTTGCTGTTTGTATATTAAGTACTTTAGCTTGCTTTCACTAAAATAGAGTACTGTAAAGTAAATAACAGTTTCACTTCTGTAGCCTTTATTGAGTATGTCTCTGATGTAATTAAAGATGAACAAAACAGATACCTGATTTATCTTCCAGCTCATTCCAATCAGAAGTCAGCAGCTGGTTTTCCTGATTATTACTGCAAATGGCAGGGGCTTCCATACTCAGAGTGCAGCTGGGAAGATGGCGCTCTCATTTCCAAAAAGTTTCAAGCATGTATCGATGAATATTTTAGCAGGAATCAGTCAAAAACCACTCCTTTTAAAGACTGCAAAGTGAGTACTGGCATTTTAATACATGCAAATGTATTTATACATTGTAAGTATTACAAGCCTATGTAGAGTTGAATCCTGATTTCATACATACTGAAAGAGTACTTCTTAGATGATAGACCTATTAGAGAAAGATTCCTCTAATTGCTATGTGATCTTGGATATGACATTGCCCTTTATCCTTGATGAATGGCACCATGTCCAAAAATGATAAATTGATGGCAGTCTTAGTTGTGTTGGGGAGACCAAATAGTGAAAATTTTCTTGGAAACTAGAGGTATATGCTTGGTTTAAAAGGTAACAGATATTTTTGCTGAATGTAGGAAAGCAGAAGAGGTACATATTCAGGAGATTAAACCTAGAACCACTTTTCTTAATAACTTCTAAAATCTTCATAGTTTACATTAAAGTATTACTGGTAGTTTTAAGATGTAGATACCATTTTATAATAGGATTGAATTAAATTCAGAGTGGTATTTTGAAAATCAAATAGTTTTCAAAACTATTCCAGTTTTATGGATTATTTCTAGTTCAAAGCTAGAGCAATAGTTAATGAATTGAACATAATCCTTGCTTGTGAAATACTTGACCTATGTATATTGGCAGGAACTGAATTTTTTTGGTATTTTTCTAATCCAAAAAAAGGCAAAAAAAACCTCACTAGAGCTTTTTCTAGAGTCATAGAGAACAGTAATGGTTGCGTGAATCTTTTATGTATATGAGTATATTGCCCACATGTTGGTATGTTCAGAAGAGGGTGTCGGTTCCCCTGGAACTAGAGTTATAGACAGTTGTTAGCCACCATGTGGGTTCTTAACCAACAAGTTATCTGTCCAGTCCCCTACATAAACATTTAAAAAAATTATTTTATGTGTGTTGTGTCTGCATGTATATAACTGCAGCCAGTGCTCGTAACCACTGAGCTATCTCTCCAGCCCCTGCATAGACATTTTTGTTGTTTTTTAGAAGTAACTTTTCTGTATAGCACAAGCTCATCTCAAATTGGCAGTCTTTTGGTCTCACTCAGCCTGTTGAGTGCAGGGATTATAGGTGTGCACCTCTGTGCATAGCCTCTTAAACATTTATAATCATAGAACCTCTGAAATTAATGATTTGAAATGAAGTGCTAATGTTTATGGTGAAAGCTAGACTGAAAGATAACTCATCTTTTAGCATAATTTCTTCTATTCAGTAATTTTGCGTACTAATATTTATTCCAACTGAAGGTATTGAAGCAAAGACCAAGATTTGTAGCCCTGAAGAAGCAACCAGCATATATTGGAGGACATGAAGGTTTAGAATTAAGAGATTATCAACTCAATGGTTTAAATTGGCTTGCCCATTCTTGGTGCAAGTGAGTATATTCTTTTTAGTCATCTATGTAATTTGAGAGAATATTTTTTCCCACAGATTGCCAGGTTCATCATTTAAAGGTTTAATGACTCCATGAAGAAGCAGGAAAGGACTCAGAGATTCTTACAAGCTAAAACACTGTAGGAAAACAGTATTGCTTGAAGTCTGCCTTTCAGGGGAGCAGCAAAGGTCTTGTTTGCAGCATATTGAAAGCACCAGAGCTACATTATTTGACTTCATTTCTTCAGCTCATATTCATAATGTTTCACATTAAAACCTGCCAGATTTGACTTAAAGTCTTAAGTGTAGTCATGGAACACATTTAAAAAATCATGTGGGAAGTACTTGAGAGTTTTTGAAGGATATTTTCTTATCCATTAGCTTCACAACCCTAGCTCCAGGATGTTAATGGTATCTTGATAGTGAGAATCAGATTCTAGATAATATGCCCAGTCTCTTGAACACACTGGCTATATAGTTATTTATCTCTGGACGTACCAGTACCTTGTCTTGACCTTTGATGAGTCCATTTCTCCACTGATTTCTCTCTTCAAGAATATGTTTTTAGTTTTGGTTTTGATTTTTGAGACAGGGTCTCATAAAGCCCAGCAGATCTCATAGTCACTCTGTAGCCAAGTATGACCTTGAACTCCTGTTCCTCTTGTTTCCGCTTCCCATGTACTGGGATTACAAACTGTGTGTCACTACCTCTAGCTAGGATATGTTTTTGCATAGTATCATAACGTATACCAAATAAGTCATTCTTCCTTAATAAGTACAAAAATTTGTGGGTGGCAAAGGCATGGGTAGCTAGCTCCCTTGCTGTTGCCACACCTTGTTTCCAAAGGGGGGGAGGGCAGGGAGGGAGGGAAGGGGAGAGAGGGAGGACTGGAAAAGGGACTGAGACACTCCAGAGAGAAACCAAGAGAGCAAAAATTTTGTAAATACAGCACTTGGGAAAGATTTCTACTAATGAAGTTTTAAGTTTTACTTGATTATTGTAGTTCTTAAATGTTTTTATTCAAGTGGGTAAATCGTATAATGCATTGTCTTTCATGCTGGAATATTTTTTTCCTTAGTTTTAAAAATTACTAGTTAGTCCCTTTTTTCCTGCCTCCTGTGATGCCTAATTTTGAATCCCACCTTTAAAGTTGTGATTTAATTATGGTTTTCACCCTTACTCTTCCTAGATACTCTTTAATTATTTAACATATCTGCAGCCTACTACTGGTAGATGAATTGTATTATTAACTTCGTAATTCATAATAATACTGTTTAATCTTCAAGCCCCCTTTAGCCTTAAATGGTCATATTTTGGATGACATCAGTGATTGTCTTTTGGACAGGCTTTTATTTTATTATATATGTTATATATTGGTACTGATAAAAAGGTAATATTGTATAAAATGGCTATTATGTTAATTATATACAACATCATGTAAATGTGTACACATGGCATGAAACAGTTCTTTGTAAATTGGAATTTTTGTTGCATAAATGGATTTTTGTTTTTTCAATTTGTAGAGGAAATAGTTGCATACTTGCTGATGAAATGGGCCTTGGAAAAACAATACAGACGATCTCATTTTTGAATTATTTGTTTCATGAACATCAATTATATGGACCTTTTCTATTAGTTGTGCCACTCTCCACTCTGACTTCTTGGCAAAGAGAGATTCAGACGTGGGCTTCTCAGATGAATGCTGTTGTTTATTTAGGTGATATCAACAGTAGAAACATGGTAAGTTACCTTTCTACAAATTTAGAAGTCTAGACAAATTATCTTTGAGGATAGTATCTCACTTTGTTGTTACGTCCTCATAGTCTAGCTTGTAACCTGCCACAAATCAGTGCCTAACATGTGCTTAGTTGGTTATAGTAAAAATATTGGGAATGTATGCTGAGTTGATTATAATAAAAATAATAGGGCCAGCCAGATGACACTAGGTTGAAAGTGCTTGCCACCAAGCCTGACATTATGAATTCAGTCCCTGGAACCCACATGGTAGAATGAGAAAACTGATTCTCTCAAGTTGTGCTCTGACTACCACCTGGATGTATCCCCACATACACAATAAGTAAATGCAATGAAAAAATTTTAAAAACTGAATTTGGTTTAGTATTAATATGTATATGCATACACAAATATATATATGTGTGTGTGTGTGTGTGTGTGCAGCTACACTTTGTGTTGAGGTCTAGACTGCCTCATATTCCCTTGTCTCAGCTTCCCAAGTGCTGGCCTTATAGGCATGTGCCACTGCACTGGGCCGTAAATAATATATATATGAATACATGAATTGTTTTTTTCTTACAGAAGATTTCAAATATATATGAAAGCAATCCAAGAAGTATAATGACACCCACATTTCTGAAAGGTCTCATTTTACCATTTTAACCAGTGCCAGTTTTCTTTTGTCTATATGTCTACATATTACTCTCCTTAGAGTTATGTGAGGCAAAACTCAGATACTATATCTGCATATGTAACTAAGTAAATTACTGTTTATGTTTTATTAAATGAGAACTATTTTCAGTGAAAGGTATGTAATGAAATGATGTTTACTTCATTTTTATTTATAAAACATTATAGTCTGTTAAGGTGTTCACATTTTAAATGACTTAATTTACTTTTAGATATTTAAGTAGAAATATAATTTATTTGGTGCTTCCCTTAAAAATTGTTCTTAAAATTTCTTAATAGATCAGAACTCATGAATGGATGCATCCCCAGACCAAACGGTTAAAATTTAATATACTTTTAACAACTTATGAAATTTTATTGAAGGATAAGGTATGTATTACTTGTATTTTCCATTTAGTGTATGCAGGATGAAAGGTTATTTAAGTCATGAGTCAGTAAATTATAGCCTTTGGACTTTAGGTGTTTTTTTTTTTTTAATTTACTTTATGTTTATGTGTAGTATATTGCCTGAATGTATATAAGTGCACCCATGTCATGCTGTGCTGCAGAGGTCAGAAGGTGGCTTTGGATCTCCTGGAACTGGAGTTATGGACAGTTGTTAGCCACTATGTGGCTACTGGGAATCAAGCCCAGGTCCTCTGTAAGAACAGCGAGTGCTCTTTAACTGCTGGGCCATCTCTGCAGCCTCTGGGCTTTAGGTTTTTTTAATGGCCCTTGAGCTAAGAAGGATTTTTACATTTAAGGATTTTAACAGAATTTCATTTAATTCAACGCTACCTAAGGTAATTTTGGCAACTGATGACTGCTGGGAGGGGGAGAGACAGTTTCCTACAAGGATAGGATTTTTGGTAGGTTAACAAAGCTCCAGTGGTTGGACCCACACCGAAGGACCTGTGGGACACAAATCAGACTATATAAGTCATATTTGTGTGTGTGTGTGTGTGTGTGTGTATGATAATCGCAAACATTCAATTAAAAAGGTTGTATACAAAATGATGTGAAGTGGTATGTAATGGTACACGCCTTTAATCCCAGCAGAGGCAGACAGACCTTCAAGATCATGGCCCAGCCTGGTTTGCAAATTGAGTTTGAGGCCATCTGGGGTTACAGAGAGACCTGGTTCCAAAAAAAAGAAAGAAAAGAAACTAGCAAAGAGCACATTGGTCTGCAAAGTCTAAAATATTTCCCATCTGTTGGTTTTCCGAAAAAAATCTACCAGCTCTTAAATGAAAGTAGCTTATTAGTGTCTGTTATGTCTAAAGTTTTAATAAATGGAGGAAGATGCTTGTCCTAGTTTCAACATCTCTTTTGCGGTAATAAAATAATCTGACTAAAAACAATTTACTGAACAAAAGGATTTATTTGACTTATACTCCAGGTCATAGTCCATCATTGAGGGAAGTCAGGGCAGGAACTCAATGGCAGAATCTGTGGAGCAACTTGCTTGTTGGCTCTGTCTCAGGCTCAGGACCACCTGCCTGGGAATGATGCTGCTACGGTGGGCTGCACCCTCCTATATCAATGAATAACCAGTTCTCTCCAGGCATGCCCACTGGTGTCAAGTTTACTTTAAAGACTAAGCAGGATAATGCCTAACAACAGCATTAGTGAAGCGTTGGACTACATGCTCTGTAGCTGTTATCTCATTTAATTCTCATTCACTTCATAGTTAGAATTTGTACTTTAATGAAAACAAAAATCAGGTTTCAAATGGCATAACAAACTTGTCTAAGGTCACATAGCTATTAATAACAAAATCAGGCCTGTGTCTATTTGAAGTCTCAAGAGACCTAAATTTCTTTCTTAGAAACCTACAGATCATAGAAGTTAGGTGGTGAATTCTACCTGCCCTTGAAGATTGGGTCTCTTCCTAGTTAATGGTCACCTTTGTTGGACCAGCTAAAATCTTGTGTGAAATTTTGCAGTGCTGGAATCAGTTTTCTTCCTTTTTTTTTTTTTCCTGTGTATAAGCTAGTAAAATCCTTTTACTCTATTTTCTAAGTTAAACTAGTTATTGAAAAATTTCTGTTTTGTGTGTGCATAGCTACCAGATTTGAGGATTCCAGTAAGTCTTGAAATACTTTTTAAAAATGTGGAATGTTTGCTTTTTACTTTAATTTGCCTTATTTTAATAATCTAGAGTTAGCTTTCCTATTTGATCAGAATTCTTTTTTCTCTAAAAATATTAACTGTTCTTATATTCATTTTTAAGGCATTCCTTGGCGGTCTGAATTGGGCATTTATAGGTGTTGATGAAGCACATAGATTAAAAAATGACGACTCCCTTCTGTATAAAACTTTAATTGATTTTAAGTCCAATCACCGACTCCTTATCACTGGAACTCCTCTGCAAAACTCCCTGAAAGAGCTCTGGTCATTGCTACATTTCATTATGCCAGAAAAGTAAGATATAATTTAATCATAATTTTATATGCTGAGGTTCAATGGGAAAACATTTAGGGAATAAGGTCCATAAGTGATTTTTGTTATATTGGATCACAGATTGTTAAAAAGAAAAAAAAAAAAATTGGGGTGGAATAATAGTTAAGAATTATAAATTGGAGATTTAAAAATTTTTGTGCATGAACTTGAGCAATGTATAATAAATTTTAACAGTTGATTTTGCACATCTGTAAAATACATCTTGCTTGGAAACTAAAATAATACTATTTATATTTAATAATAACAATTACAATTTTATAAAGTGAGTACTCTCATTCTGTAAATGAAAGATCAGAAGAGATTAAATAATTTGTCACAGGTCAAATATTATTTTTCAGTAGGTCTTGAAGTTTTAAATTTTTGTTGTTTTATTGTTTTTAGTTTTATGAGTATTAGTGTATTGTCTGCATATATGAAAGTATGCCGATATCATCTAGTGCCCTCGGAGGTCAGAAGAGGGCATCAGATCCCCTGGAACTGGTGTTATGCATGGTTGTTAGCCGTCATGTGGGTGCTGGGAAACAAACCTGGGTCCTCTGCAAGAGTGGCCAATGCTCTTAACCACTGAGGCAGTCTCTAGTCCCTATTGTTTTTTTTTTTTAATTTGTTTAATTATGTTTTCATTAAATTTTATTTATTATTTTTATTTTATGTGTATGCGTGTATTGCCTGTATTTAGGTAAGTGCACCCGTGTTATGCAGTGCCCACATTGGTTAGAAGAAGCTATTGGATCCCCTGGGACTGGAATTACAGACAGTTGTTAGCTGCCATGTGGGTTCTGGGATTCAAACCCGGGTCTTCTGCAAGAACAACCAGTGTTCTTAACCGCTGAGCCATCTCTCCAGCCCCTGTTGTTGTTTTTTAAATTTTACGTGTATGCCTGTTTTGCCTGCATGTATGTAAGTGTGTCGTGTCTGCAGATGTCAGACGAGAACATCAGATCCCCTGGAATTGGAGTTAAGGATGGCTGTTAGCTGCCATGTGGATGCTGGGAATCAAACTTGGGTCTTCTGCAAGAGCAGACAGTGCCATCTCTCCAGCCCCTAAATGGGTATTTTTGAGATATTTTAGTGATAATTGCCTCTGTATTCAAAGAGCCTAAGTGAAGAATAATCAACAAATTGAGCCTAGAATATGTTACACATGTTAGGGAAGCACTCACTACTGAGCAGTAGCCCTAGCCGTCATTTTATTTGTTTCAAGGTGGAGTCTCACTAACTTGCTCAGGCAGCCTTGAACTCACTCTACCCAGGCTGGATTGTACATACTTACTTATATATGTATAGAGATACATAGATACATGTATACACACATGCATATGCATGCACACACATGTGCATGTATATTTTGTATGTGTGTAGAGGAGGGGATTCCTGGGAGGGAGATTTTTAGAGAGTTTTAGCTCTTATGTACAGTTTGACTTGTTTTCAATAACTGTGCCTTTGCTTTCAAAGGTTTTCTTCCTGGGAAGATTTTGAAGAAGAACATGGTAAAGGCAGAGAATATGGTTATGCAAGCCTTCACAAAGAGCTTGAGCCATTTCTGTTACGTCGAGTTAAGAAAGATGTGGAAAAATCTCTTCCTGCCAAGGTTGAGCAGATTTTAAGAATGGAAATGAGTGCTTTACAGAAGCAGTATTACAAGTAAGCTGTCCACCGAACACAGTTCAGAATTAGATTTCTTTGCCCTGATCATGGTGCCTCACCTCCTACATATAGGGTCTTAGAGCAGTAATAAGCCTTGAATTTTAGAATAGGTTTATTTTGAGCTAATGAGGCACAAGGATTTAATAGGCCCAGGATTATGGGTAACCTATGCTCTTGAAGACTTTATAGTTTTATTTTTATGGGTATCAGTGTTTGACTACATTGGTATGTATGTGTACCATATATATTCTTGGTGCCTGAGGAGGCCAGAAGAGGGTGTTACATTCCCTGAACAGTCAGTTGTGAGCTACCACATGAGTGCTGGGTGCTAGGTGCTGAGCCCTTGTCCTTTGTAAGATCAGCAAGTGCTGTTCACCTCTGAGCATCTCTCTAGCCCCCTAAGCCATATTGTTAATGCATTATCATTATGCTTTTCCCTAGATAACATACAGCTTACCTGACAGAATTTTCTTACTTCAGAGTATTAGGATTTCTACAAATGTGATATGTAATTGTTATAACTGACAGAGCTAAAAGAAACTTGAGACAAAATTTTAAACCTGCTGCTTTGAAGAGTATCAACAAACCACATTTATGTATGCTTTATGTCAAAATTTATGTAGTGATATTTTTCAAAGAATAAAAACAAAGTATGTCTTAACATCTGTTCAAGTATTTAATTGTACAGTAAGATACATTGCTACATATATTTTATGGTAGAATTCTGTAAGCACCATGCACCTAAAAATGAATTTATTGAATGAGGTGGTACATGCCTGAAATCTCAGCCTTTGGGAGGCTTTTGAAGGAGGATTAAGAGTTTGAGGCCAGCCAGGGATACCTAGAGAGTTCCAGGCCAACCTGGGCTATAGGATGAGACTGCCTCAAAATAAAAAAAAAAAATTTTGCATAATTTTTATTATGGACATTTTCAAAGATACACAAAAATAAGAATACAAGAATAGCTAGACATTTTAAGATGCTTTAAAAGCTAAATTTTTAAGAAAGGAAGAAAATAAAAGATTTTGATGAGAATTATGTGTAGTTTGAGTAATAAAATTTATTTTTATCAAGTTGAAGATGTATAGCATGCATAGTTGTAATTCAGGGAAGGCAGTATGGCTGAAACTGTATCTTGATGAGTGTTTCTTATAAGCCCATGGAAAAGATGTAATTCAAGTGACTGTCTAATGAACGTTTTAAAAACTTTTAAGATGATGATGATGAAGTTGACCATCTTTCTACCAAACTCTGGGAATGATTAATATATTTACCATATACATAGAACCTCCCCGGTGTATACTTAATAAATCAGATAACAAGTTACATGTTCCATGAGTCTTATGCATGGGGTTCAGTCCATCCTAATATCCAGTTGTGAGCTTCTTAGTTGTGAAATTCTGATTTGGTACTAATTTTCTTTTCTAAGCTTTCACAGACTTTATTTTGGTGATTGTTCTGCTAAACATGGTTTTTGTGACTTTTGTTTTTTAAGATGGATTTTAACTAGGAATTACAAAGCCCTCAGCAAAGGTTCCAAGGGCAGTACCTCAGGCTTTTTGAACATTATGATGGAGCTAAAGAAATGTTGTAACCATTGCTACCTCATTAAACCACCAGATAATAATGAATTCTATAATAAACAAGAGGCCTTACAAGTAAGAATTTTTAAATATTACTTTGTTTTAAAGCAGAATTCTAAGAATGTCTATTTGAGATGTAACCAAAAATGGCAGTGATTTAATATATTTGACAGAAGTTCTCTTTCTCTAGTGTTTTATTTAAATAATGATCTAGATTATTTTTTAGTATTTATTTTTAAAAAGCTTTAAAATTTTTAATTTATAAGAATAGTCTTTCAAACAGATGGACTGTAATGGTTTATCAAACCATTATCAAATCCATTAGTATGTTCATAATTGTGAAAAAATTGACTAGTGATAATTCTGCTGAATTTTTGATGATGAATGGTAGTCTAAAGAAAGATATGTTGGGCTGGAGACCTCACGCAGCTGTTAAAGGCTAGGCTTAACAACCAGAAAGCCAAGAAAGATATGTTGACCTAACATCCTACCCTTCCATTATTTAGGAAGATGGCTCAGAAATGTGAAGACATGTACGCAATCTAGTCATAATAGTGCATTGAGGGGATAAGACCATTGACTTAATAGAGAATGCATTTCCATTCTCATTAAAGCCTCGTTTGCCCGGTTGTTGTTTTTTTATTTTCTGTGTTTATATTGACTAAGATTTTTGGAAATAGTGTATAGAGTCAAATAGAATCATTTTCCTGTTAAAGATAAAGAAGCTAATAATACATAGCAAGGGAAGTTTTGATTTGTTTAATAGAGCAAATAGGAAAAGTCTAGACAGTTTTGAAAACTGAAAGTAAGTTTTTCTTCAGTGCTATGGAAACTTTAAAAATCTCAATTGAAAGTAGTTGAAGCACGTGAAGTATGAAGTGGAGCACTGTGTCGTTGACTTGTTTTTCACATTGTTGTAACCATTAATTTATTGTCTCTTTAGCACTTAATCCGTAGTAGTGGAAAATTAATTCTTCTAGACAAGCTGTTAATTCGCCTAAGAGAAAGAGGCAACCGAGTACTCATTTTTTCTCAAATGGTGCGGATGTTAGATATACTTGCAGAATATTTGAAGTACCGTCAGTTCCCCTTTCAAGTAAGCATTTCATTGTCTTTGTGTTTGTTTCATCACGTTCTTGAGCTTATTTTACAGAATCCCCTTTGAAATTACTTTGTATATAAGCTGTATTTTTCCTTAAACATACGTAGTCACTGTTCTTTAAGTTTTAGAATTCTGTCTTTGCTGTTGTGTATTTTAAAAGCTGGACTAAGGCAATGTTTCTTTGTTGAGATAGATCTGAAGGGGAAGCTTTGAATTAGGATGAAGTCTGAGGAAGGAGAAGCAGTCCTTGTGTATGCAGCCAGGATGGTGCAGGTTCTAATGATTGGCATGCTCGTGGTTATTCTGATCCTTGGTTTGTTGAATAAAACTAGAGAAAGGGATAAGACCAAAGTAGACTTACATCCTATCCATCTATTTAAAATTTATAATGAAGTTCATTCAATAGAATTAAAGTTGACACTGATGTGTGTTTTAATATTAGATTCAGATAACTATTCTCATTATATTTAATGATTTATTTCTTACATTTTTTATTGTTTGTGTGTGTGTGTGCATGCATGCATGGGTGTGTATGCGGGAGTCAGAGGATAGCTTTGTGGTGTCGGTTTTCTTCTTCCACCTGTATGTGGGCTCCAGGATTTGAACTCAGGTTGCTAGGCTTGCTAAGGAAGCACCTTTACCCACCAAGCCATTTTGCTGAGCCCTTGGAACAGTGCCAAGAACATTCAGTATACACATCTAGGAAATGACATATATTTAGTTTAGGCAGTATATTTATGAGAATCAACACACATCTCTGCTCTTCTGAAGTTACAATCTGGTATACAGACATTATACAGATAGTTGCAAAGAAGTTGAAATATTATACCTCTAAAGTATTGTAGAGGGTAGGTGCTCGGTAATACGAGCACAATCAAAAGACACATAGTAATTTAAGGGGAAACACAGAACAGTGCTGTTACTTGAGATTTTAAAGGCAGCTTTGAGGTGTAATTCTCATACCTTACTATTCAGTATACCATTCCCATAGTCATACATATTTGCCACCAACACTGTGGTCATCTTAGAACATTTCCTCACTTTTGGAAGAACCTTGGGCTCTTGAGCTGCCTTTCACACTCCCTCCATCTTCCTCTCATGAGCCCTGCATTAGTTTTACATAAACAGAATTTTTTTGTATATCGTTAAATGGAAAAAATATACAGAAGTACTTCTGAAAGCTCTCCAGTTCTCTGCCCCAGATCTCTTCTCATTCCTAGATTACATCCCAGTGGGAACTGTTTTTGTTTATGCTATTTCAAAATAAGTGATAAAACACTATTACAGGTTTAATAGAAAAGAAACATGATTCTATTTCAGACTAGACCTCTTCATTTAGGTGAACATTAAGAGCATTTTACTTAAACCACTGAGAATAAGTTCTTTAAAATGTTTTTCTTAGACTGAAGAGATGGCTGAGCAGTTAAGAGCACTTCCTGCTCTTTCAGGAGATGGAGTTGGGTTCCCAGCACCCATGTTGGGCCATTCACAAAAGCCTGTAACTCTAGCTTCAAGGGATCTGACATTCTCTTCTAGCTTCTGCATGCACACACAGACATACACACACACATAAAAAACTTCCTCCCTTTGAGCTTTCCACCCTGTTTGGTTTATGTGATGCTGTGGATTTACCCCAGGACCTTGTGCATGCTAGTCAAGTATTCTACTAACCAAGCTTCATCCTTGCCCTTCTTTTTACTTTTTATTTTGATAAATGGGTTTGTTAATTTGTCCATGCTGATCTTCACTTAAGATCTTCCCGCTATAGTCTCCAAAAAAGCTAGGATTGCAGACCTGCTCCACCAGCCTCAGCTATGCTTAAAAAATCATTTCTGAAACTGAGAATTTTAATCAGTCACATTGAAGTACTCTGTAATATGTATATAGTGTATCTGTATATGTATATATGTATGTGTAATATGAAAAACCTGAGGGGGGAAATCAGTAGCACACAGTGCATATTAATCATTAGTTGCAAAAGGCAATCTAAAGATGCAAGCTATTGCCAGTGATGGGAGGGGAAAGAGAAGAGGGAAGGCCTAAATCATAAACATTATCATGCCTGGTTTTCTTTGGCTTAGTTTTGTTTTCATTGTTTGTGTGTTTCGTGTGTGTGTGTGTGTGTGTGTGTGTGTGTGTGTGTGTGTTAGAGACTGTGGTCTCATTGTAACTCATAATGGCTTGGGAACTTAATATGTAGCATAGGGTGGCCTTTAAATTCCTAGCAGTCCTCCTGTCTTAGCCTCTTTGAGTGTTGTCATGAGCTACTGTACCTGGCTCCTTTAGCCACAAAAACATCATTATTCTGCTTTTTGTTGTTGCTTGTTGTTTTGGTTTTTTGAGACAGGGTCTCCCTGTAGCCACAACTGGCCTGGAACTCACTATGTTGGCCAAGCTGGCCTAGAGAAGATTCACCTGCCTCTGTCTCCCAAGTGCTGGGATTACAGGTGTGCGCTGCCACGCCAAGCTCCAGTGTGTTTTGATAGCACTGATTTGCTAGGTTACATTTCCTCATCCTAAGCCTGAGAGGAAGACCGCTCAGGGAAAGTACAAAGAACAATGTTTGTTACCTTCTTTGAGCCATTTGTCATTCTTTAAGATGTTGGTAATACTCTGAATTCAGGTTAATTTGACTTGCCATTACAAACTGAACCAACTAGTAATTGCTGTGCACTCTTTATTATTTCCATTAACATTCTAGCTTGCTTGAAAAAAGCACTTTCTTTGGTTACCAAAAATATCTGTGAGTCTGATTTCCAGATATTACTAGATTTCTCTTAGAGATAAGTGTATAGAAAGTTAGAGTGGCTTTTCATAAAAATTATAACTTTGACACATACCTCTTTGTTTTCCCATCAAATTTCTCTAACAGCAGCTAAATGTTGGGATCTGGAGACAGAATAGTTACCCTGTGAGGCACCAGATACAAGAGTGGAAGGAATAGTGGCAATTGAATAGTCAGTAGATATTTGGTAACAGATTTAAGAAGCTGAATAGCAAGCCATCAGTATATGTTAGAAGTAAACTTACTTGTATGAAGAGTCTGCAGAGGTTCAGGGATTCTTGACAACAGTAATTCTGGGAATAGGGAACAGGTGGGGCTTTAACAAATTGTGGAAAAGATGTGTTTGAAAATCTGTTTTCAAACAACATTTTTTTGCCTCTGTTCTGAAAGTGCACTAAGAGGATCACCTGTGTTTCTATTTGATTGGTTTTGTTTTATGGGCTAACCTCAAAATAGTAGAGCCTACCAACCAGCCAAAAAGAAGTTTCTGTGTGTGTTTACTTTTTGTCATCCTAGGATCAAACTCAGGGCCTTGTGCATCATAGGAAATTGCTCTCCCACTAAGCTATAGCCCCAGACTCGCAAACATGCTTGGATATCATTCTGTTATAATGTCTTCCTGAGTTTCTGTTTTATTGTTGTAGTGTTTTTTCATGTTCTTGTTTTCTGTTTATACCTAGTTAACAAAAATGTCACTGATGTTTAGTTATTAACCTTGTAACTGATAATTTTGCTATAACTTTGTGAGTCTTATTGTATTACTTTTAAGTGATTAGTTTTTGTTTGGTTTTAATAATTGAGGAGAATTCCTTTAGATTTTTCATTTCATGGACAATCATTATTTCTGATTAGAAATGTACTTTTGTGCCAATCCTTATAGCTAGCTATTCTTTTTCTTTTTTCTTACTGCACCAAGAATAATTATAGTGCCTAGCATTGGGTATATAACATTTGCAGTAAAATTTCTGCATCTCATTTTTTCTGGTTAAAGAAATTCCTTTTTATAACTTACTTGTTTAAAATTAGTAACAAAAAGAAATATTAAATGTTATGGTCTATTAAAAATTTATATAGCAACAAAGCAGAGGTTGGCATATTGGTTTCCAAATTGGTACTTTAATCTGTCACTTAAAGTATAGCTTGTGGGCTGTAGATCTAGCTCAGTGATAGAAGTGCTTGCCTAGCATATAGGAAACTCTGGTTAATCTTCAGCACTGCAGAAAAAGAGAAGAAAATGCATGTATTGGGGTAGTACAGCTTACTTTGTTTTGTAAGCACTTATTTGACTGCCAGGCACTGTACTGTTTTCTCACTGGGCCTGTTTAACAGAGAAGCTGATAAGGAAGAAAAGTTGAATCATTTGCCTAAGTCACACAGTGAATTAGCCACATGCTGGCTGCTAGATCCATCAGAGTCTCTAGTGGACATTTGCTTGACTCTTCTAAAGAGTTTCTGATTCTGATCTGGGTCGGGACTCTGTAATTTCAATTATTCATTCTTAGGTGGTTCTAATGCTGCTATCCAGTAACCATACTGGACTTAGTGTTTTTTGTAGTTGATTTTAATTGTTTAACATTTGATTCTGGTTTATGAAGTGTTTTGATTTGATTTCTTCTAGAGATTAGATGGATCAATAAAAGGGGAGCTGAGGAAACAAGCCCTAGATCATTTTAACGCTGAGGGCTCGGAGGTATGAATGCCTTTAAAATTGTAAATATTGTTTTAATCATTATGTTATTTAGTCATCATTTTGTTTAGTCAGCATATTTGTAATTTGTTTTTAGTAGACTTGGTACTGGCCAGCTTTTACTAGCAAGTAAGGCTTTTAAAGTCCATGTTCTCTGTCAAATCTGAAGAATTTTACCCTCATCAACTAGCATTTCAGCATGTTACGGTTAATTTGCTTCCAAATACAATTAGCTATCATTTAGAATTCTTTGCATGTGCTCTGTATTTTCTAAGTAAACATGAGATAGAGCCTCATCCATCACTCTCCTGTTTCCCCTCCTCCTGCTTGTACAGAAGTCAGCACTGCAGAGTTTGGTGTTTGTTTTTACCATGTGGGTTTATATTTTGGAATCTT